TTCCCAGAATTTCCCAGCCAGCATGGCTGGCTGGGAAATTCTGGGAGTTGAAGTCCACACATGTTCAAGTCGCCAAGTTGAGCAACTCTGGCTTAGAGTGTGAATCCAGTGAAACCAGTTCATGTTTTGAGCAACTCTTGTTTTGGTCCATGTCCCAGTTAAAGATAGGTCCAATTCAAGCCTGAAATAACATGCAGTCCACCCTTTATATCCTTATTCCAGAGAGTGGATTAGAATTCTTGAACCCTTGTTTGTTAAAGCCAAACATGAGAATGTTAACTTCTGCTCTTCTCCATTTGTAAAGGAAAACAGAACCCAAACAGTGAAATAACATGTTGCTTTTTAATTTTGCTGACAGCTCCCAATAAATGTGAACTGAACTGCATCCCAAAAGGAGAAAATTTCTACTATCGGCAGAAAGAAGCAGTCACTGATGGAACGCCCTGTGAGCCCGGGAGGCATGGTGTTTGCGTGGAGGGGACCTGCCGCGTATGTGTTTGTCTTCATCTCACTTTCAGAAAGAGCACCAAGTTTCCTGGCTTTTTTTTCTCATGCTTGAACTCTGAACTTCCTCAGGCCATTTATGGGATTATCTCATTTTATCCTACCATAGATTTGTTAGGCAAACTAAGGTGAGACACCAAATTCACATACCGTGACTAGCCCATAGTTTTGTTTGAATAATAGTTTTGTTGACTAAGCCATAATTGATGGCATTCACACCACATGCTATAAATCATGTTGTCCGAGTTCACAGAATATTTCAAGCCAAACCAAACCAGGAGTGGGGAGGGGGTTGCTGGCCAAAAACTGCCTAACTTGGGTAGGGGGGAGCTGCCTTTAAGCGGGTGGGGCATCACGCATTCAAGGAGGAGTTACCAGCTGTGGCAACCTTCAACATTTGCCGTCCCTGGAGATAAAGCTAATAGTGAGCATTTTTTTGTCCCCCCCCCTTTTTTTTTTGTTGCTTGCTGAATGTCAGCATATTGTCCACACAGTTCATTTCTATTCTGTGGTTTATTACAAAAATGGCTATCGTATCTGTACAACAGATGGTGATTAATAGCAGGAAGCCCCTATTTCTTCTGCCCATCTCAGTTTCTCCTCATTCCCCTGCCCAACTCTTCCAGCACTTCATTGGTTATGAGCAGGGATATCCTTAGACTATCCTGAGTGTTTTCCCAATGGCTGTACTATTCAGGGTGAAGGCCTGACCGCTTGGAAGTTCCCAGAATAATCAAAGGATAATCAGAATACATGGTGAGATTAAAAAGAAGTAGCCTTCTAAGAGAAACTCAGACCTAACAAATTAGATCAGAGGATCCAGGAGGCCAAGGATTATTGTGTGTTTGTGTTCACTAAGTTGTATGCATCTGAAGTCCTCATAATGAAACTGGGTGATAGCAGAGAGGGGAAGGGAAGGGGCTACAGTTCCAAAGCTGTAGGACAGGTTTTTTTTTTACAAAATTGGCAACTTTAAGATCCGTGGACTTCAACTCCCAGAATTCCCCAGCCAGGCTGGGAGTCGAAGTCCACACATCTTAAAGTTGCCAAGTTTGAAAAACACTGCTGTAGGAGATGGGTTCATATGGCATAGAAAGTGGGACAGGCAAGGATGTCTGGACCCTTTGCATGTTAAAAGACCCTTCTGGAAGCAACTTATGTCAGCGATCCCCAGCTTATAGCAACAAATCCAAAGGAGAAATGAAGAATTAACTCGTTTTTCTGGGAGAAGGACCAGGATGCACCTTGGCCTTAAAAAAGCTTTTAACTCCTGCACTTCCACCCTTGGCCACCAGAGGGTTCACAAGGACCAAAAACCAGCCAACCAACCAATGGCTGGCCTCACTTGGGCCCTTTCTTCACTGCTGGGGGAACCTGTTATCTACCCATCCCTGAGTTAGCGATATTTGAACAGCGTGAATTTTGCTACCCCTGTTGCTGATCTCTGTCTTCCCTATCTTGCCTCTCCTGCCTCTGCCAAATGGTGTCCTGCTTATTTGTGTGCAGGCTTGAGAGCAAAGCTATTAGTACACCCCTCCAGCTCTTCTTCCTTCCCATTTAAGCATGTCACCAACCAGAAGGAAAAGCATTTCCTAATCAAAGCACTGCGGCAGGAAGGGTGTAACTGAGGACTGCACTATTGCTCAGCTTCTTCTTCTCCCCTCCCCCTCCATTTGGTTGTAAACCAGCACTGAATAAAGTTAAAAAAAAAAAAATAGATTGGTGTCACAAAGGAAGCTTTTTTAGGATTTCTCTCTCTTCCTTTCCTTTTTATGGATAACAAATGCCAACTTCCACCGTCCTCCCTGTTTTGTTTGGGAAGCAGATCCCACTGGCCCCTGAAATGCTATTTCAGCCTTGCATTAAACCAGTGAAAAACGCAGAGATAGAGCATTTACAGCACTGCCAGGGCAGTCGGGAACAGTTGCACCATCCAGATCGATCACAGTTTCAGTTCACCAGCCACCAATTTTCTCCACTGTCCCATAAAGCAAGTAACATGGCAGCATCCACAAGTTGTAGAGGTGGGCACTGGTTGGGGCAGGGAAACACTGTAGGTAGCTAGAACAAGATGGCTGGAGAAATGCAAAAGGAAGCCAGTGCTTAGAATGTACAGCTCTATTGCTCCTGGGCAAATTTAAAAGACTCCTAGCCCAGCGCTGTTCCTGTCCAGCTCTTTAGGAAGGCAACAGCAGACGAGGCTGGGGGGAAGGGGAAGGGGAAGGGGAGTGCTCACATCCGCTTGAATAAATATCTCTCTGATCCCACCTATTCCTAGTCTCCCAGCTTCCCTTCCAACCCAGTGACTGGCAAGGTATAACGTCTTTTACACACCTTGCAGCTCTTGGTTTCAGGAAGAAAAGAGTGCTTTAACACTAGCATGCAGAAGGATGACTTAAGCCTGTCACATTCATGGGCTGGAGATGAGATCAAGGCAACAACTTGTGGACACGATGAGAAAGGATGCTGCCAGGCATGCTTCTGCCACAAAGGTTAGGTACAAGTGGAGATTATGCCTAAGCTGTTGAGTACCCACAAAGGCTGGAGACACACATAACGCATTAGTTAAAGCCACAATGGCTGGATTCACACATTGCATTAAGCCAAAACTAGGAAAAACATTTGTTTGGCCCAATGTGAGAACCCTGCCAGCAGTCCCTTTTTAACTAGGTGGATTGCAGTGGGGTGGGGGAGCTAGGGAGTGACTTATTTTCCAGCTTGAAAACTATCCTTTTCCACACTTTGTGCTCATTTTCTCTCCAAAATGGGGAAGCCCACTCTTACACTTTCTTGTAAGAAAGGTGCTTGCCATGGACATGTTCATGGCAGCGGGGTGGAGGGGGGGATGGTTTGAGGGAGGATAACTTTACCGAAGTAGTTTACCATTACCTCTTTCCAATATTTTTTTTTACTAGCTAGCCTAGGACCTTGCAACTTCCTGATTGCCTCCTGTCCAAATAATTTACCAATCTGGTCCTGCTTAACTTTTTCAAGATCAGGCACATTTGGTGCTTAGTTGGACATTGAGAATCCCTCTGCAGCCCAACACTACTCCTCTTTTGGTCTTTCCCATGTTACTTAGCAGAGAAACCAACTACTGGTCTCTCTGTATTCCCCTTCCTCTTTCTGTTCAACAGGCAGCTGTTGGTTTCTCTGCTAAGAACATGTTTATGTAGGAAGAAGTTATTTGCTTGGGCAGCTGGTGTGGGAGGACAGCTCTGGAAGTATCAAATTACAGAGAGTAATAGGCAGTTTCATTAAAGCAACCACATCAATAGTTAGCTAAAAACCAGACACTGTTTTAATTTTTGTTAGCCAGTCAATAGTGGCTGCACAAATATTAGCTGAATTTAACCTCTAATGTTGTATCCCCACAGGGTTGAATTTCCTGCAATTATTATATCACAGTATGTTTGAAAGCATACTCCTACGAAATATCAGTGCTGGAAAGCTGTCTGGCATTTGTGTGGACTTTGGGCAAACTTGCTTAAAATTTTAAATATACACATTCACTGCCTGATGTCTGGGAAGTATGGATGCTGAAATCCCACAGGCCTGGTAGGCACCAAGGTGTGGAAGGCTGTTTAAGAAAGATGTTCTGAGGAAAGTTATGAAACATACGGCTGCTGTTGTCCTGGCCTTGATATCTCCAGAGATTTTCTGAGTGGGAAAAACAAGACTCGTTTCAGAAAAAAAGGGGATTTGAAAGAAAAATATATGCACTCATCTGTTTGTTTGAATAAGTTTTATAAGGGTTTATTATTAGTATTATTTTTTTTAAAAAAATCTGTAACATCTGATCCAAATAATAGTGATTCAAAGAAAAAGATGGATGCTCACAATTGCAAGCAATGCCTTTTCCCATTTTTAAAAGCCTTTAAAGCAGCATTTCTTGGACTTGGCAATGTTAAATTGTGTGGACTTCAACTCAGCATGCTGGTTGGGGAATTCTGGGACTTGAAGTCCACACATCTTAAGGTTGCCAACTTTGAGAAATGCTGCTTTAAAGGAAGTTCTCGATCTTACTGTGAAGTGTCTTGTCCTTCCATTTTCCAGTAGCTTGATTTCTCTGTCTTACCAGTGCATGGTTCAAACTTTGTTATTTTACAGGCTGTTGGCTGTGATAAAATGCTGGATTCTTCCAAAAAGGAAGACAAGTGCCTGCAGTGCGGTGGGGATGGAAGAGCTTGTTTTGAAGTCAAGGGGCTCTTTGATGTGCCCAACCTCCCTAAAGGTACAGCAGGGTTGTTTTAGTACCAGAGTTTAACGAAGAAGCAGAGCAGGCTTTAGACTACAGCTGGGGTGGAGATGAGATTGATCGTTTTTATTAATCTCTTTGTATCTTTACAGCTAAAGTCAGTCAATGAAGCTCAGGAAGGTTCTAAGTGTACCATGCCTGGAGTTTGATGCATTGATGTCACTGCCTTGTGCCATATTACATCAGTTACATGCTTGGGTAGCTTTATGGGTAATATGAATATGGATAGAGCCAGTTCAAAATCAGTGGAGTAGTTACAGCAAAATTTATATCTTTTCCCATGTAGCTTCTCTGCTTGAAAGAATGACTTTGCCTTGTCTTCCTTCTCTATTACAACCTGTCTTAGAAAATGAATTTATTCTGGCCAATTTATTCTGCTCCTATAGGCTACAATCAAATCTTTGTCATTCCAATGGGAGCCACAAGTATCCGGATCAAAGAAGCAACACCCACCAGGAACTTCCTGGGCAAGTAGTTGTTACTGCTGTTTGTACTTGACGTCCATCACATCATTTAGTTGTAACTTAATAAGGCACAATATAGATCTGCATATTCAGAAATATCACATGGCACCATCATCCTGGGAATGTGCTATTAATAATACAGGTGGGAGACTGCTTAATAACAGAATGCAGTTGGAGTATGCCATGAAACAAGGTTCTGATTGCAACAAAATATTTGCAATAATATGTGTATTTTACAGAAGCAAGAGTCTTCATGACTTCTCCATCAAAGCCCCATGCATGCCATCCACCTTTGTTTCAGATGTCTGGGGGATCCTCTTGAACAAATGATGAAACTACATGGGAACCATGAAGGGGAAGGCAAAGGGAATTGTCCCCTACCATTTGATCAGCAGAAACATAAAAATGAATTGCATCCCTCAACAAGAGAGCAAGCAACATAAATTATCTCAGGACACTGGTCCCTTATAATGATTTGATTTCATGGTATGAGTTGAATGTTACTCACTGCTCTCTGTATAAAAATGGTCACGTTTCTCTCAAACTAGCATCCTGGTGACTATGTTTACACATCTATGTGGTTTTCATGGCAATAACATGGGGATGGTTTACCCATGCTTTCTTCCATGATATTTTATTCAGCCTTGGGATTTCCTCATAGTCTGCCATCTGAGTATTTACCAAACATGACCCTGCTTAGCTTTCTGGGATCAGTCAAGTTTGGCTAGATACAGCTACCAGTTGTAGATTCTTTGCAAAAGCATTACACACACACACACCCCGCAAAAATCTATTGACATTCCATTTTGTTTAGTACATAATAACCATATCATATCTGGGGGATCTTTTGCAACATCTAAGTCTCTGTCTTTACATTTCTTTCCATTTTCTTTTCTTTTCTTTTCTTTCTAATCTCAGCAATCAAGAATGTACAAGGAACATACTATCTGAATGGTCACTGGACAATTGACTTTAGCCGGGCCTTGCCTATTGCTAGCACAGTGGTGCATTATGACAGAGGTTCAGAGGGGGACCTGGCTTCAGAGCTTCTACATGCCCGGGGTCCCATCACTGAGCCTTTGATTATTGAGGCAAGTAGCTGCAACTACTTTCCTGTTTTCTTATAGGTCTTAATCCCTGAGCTGTGCATAGGTATTCTAGATAATTCTCCAAACAAAGGAATTCCACATGGTCATAAATAAATAAAATAGATTGAAGGGAGAACCTTTATTTCTTGGCTGAACAACCATTAGAAAGACAGTAGAGAAGAACTGGCTTTGGGGTTATCTCTATTTCATGCGGAGGTCAAACAGTACATGGGTACTTCATTTGTTGTTGCATTCAGATTATTTTAGTTCCTCATTCCTTAACCTCTCTCTTAGACTTCAGCCCTCAACAGTATTCATAGATGAGACAAGAGTTTTGACACATTTGGAGGGCACAAGGTTGGGAAAACTAGCTTAGTAATTGTTTCTTGTTGAATAAAGGAGAAGTATAATCTTTCTTCATTCCAGCAAGAAACCTCTTCATCCTTCGTATTGTAGGCAAAGTATTCTAATGTTGATCTGTGAGAGTCAGGAACGGCATAAAGCAGATTCCAGAAGCAAACTATTCATGCTGGAGACAAATAGCAGACAGGAAGGGAATAAACTTTAGCAAGGATCTGAGTGATGGACATGTGTATGTGACTTCAAGGTAGTTCCCTGCATTTTTCTTGGCAAGGTTTTTCAGAAATGGTTTGCTATTGCCTCCTTCCTAGGGCTGAGAGAGAGTGACTGGCCCAAAGTCACCCAGCTGGCTTTGTGCCTAAGGGGGGACTAAAACTCGCAGTCTCCGGGTTTCTAGCCTGATGCCTTAACCACTATACCAAACTGGTTCTGAGTGATGGACATAGTTTTCACAAATAGCAGACAAGGTTGGAAAACCTCATGATCTATAACAAACAGATGAGTAATTGTATAAATGTCTAAATTAATGCATGAGGGAAAAGAAACTAAGTTGATCCTAGTTTTCTATATGTAGGCCAGAGTTTTTCGTTTAAAAGAGGAATATTCTTATCATACAGACTCTTATGCGCAAGAACGTTAGAGTCCAGGCTTTGCCACTGCATGAACTGAGCCAGTGGATAATATCCTGCTACAAGAGTAACAAAATAATGCATTTCATTATACCTACTTGTCCTCTTTCCTTTTCAGCTTATCAGCCAGGAACCAAACCAAGGGATACATTATGAATACTATTTGCCATCCCAAAAGCAAACATCAGGCTACAGCTGGGGCTACGGCTCCTGGAGTGACTGTAGTGCTGAATGTGGTGGAGGTAAATAATGTAAAATGCCAGCACTATGCATTTAATGTTACCAATTTGCTTAAGTAATGTTCCCAATCCGTGTGTATAGATCACACATTGATCTGCAAGGATATTCTAGATAGTTTGTGGTTCATGTGTGTATGCTACAAACACAGACACATAGCAGACGGGGGAGCTGAAAACTGAATGGATGTGTGAAGGTAAGTCCCCAGGAGTGACTGCATATTTAATTAGCCAAAAGCTCAGAAAATTAGCAAATCACACAAGATTTTGACACTCTCACTCAAAATCTCAGAAAATTTTGGATAGGAATACTAATTAATTAATTAATTAATTGTTGTACACTGCCCAGAGTCACATTG